CGTCTTTTTCATTTGAAGTGAATGTATAAAGATTTCGATTTCTTGAGTTATTCACATCCAACATAGTACTGAATCATGGTATGCTAGGCTATCGCATCCACACATCAACTCGTATCAATCGACTGACGCATCGCTAGTGTGGGGAGAATTCAAGGCTTACTTGAGAGATAACACGTGCATTTTTTTTTCCTTCTAGCTTGTAACATTCTATAAACAATGCTACAGAGATGGGAGTGAGCAACATGGAGCTTCAATGGGTCTCCTAGAAACCCAAGAACCACAAGCACTGTCTTTGATAACCCATAAGAAATTTCCTTTTAATATGTAAACATACACACATATAGCCGCCCAAATTGTGACACTTTTCATCAATAACGACCATAGAAATCGAGTTTTACAAGCCTGGTTCCAGACAGAAGGAAAGCTCTCTTAGACCAAATTCGATCTCGTGCCACCAAAAACTGGTCGGAGCTTTCTCAGTTAGTGGTATCCTCTCCAAATATATGTCAAATCTTCTCATAAAATTCCACACAGAAGCCAACCGAATTCGAGACTCTATGGGATTGAAATCAGCAAACATTAAACAAGGTCATACTTGACTAACTTATTTACCCTTATATTAAGTTATTATTCATGAATTTTTCAAGGGGGCTGAAATGTCTGAAATCCAAATGAAAATACAAAGCCGGCTGAATACGAGTAAAGAAGTAGGGAGAAAGGAAGAGAGAAAGAAAAATGATATCTTAAGCACATGATTAGGTTTGTTTGAACATGTCTTGGGGTCTTCTGTTTGGTAAAACTTTGGGTGGGAAATTCCCATCAATTTAATCTTTTTCTTCTTTCATTTCAGACGACAATGAAACAGAGGAGTAAAGAAGGGGGAAAAAGCAAGAAACAATACAATTGGAAGAAAAGGGGGAAAAGGGAAGCAGAACATGATTACAACTTTTTAATTGTGGGCTTTTTCGACGGGAGTTGATTTTGTTAATTGTTTATTCCCGTCGTTCCTCTTTACTTCTAGAGAGCTAGAGGTTGAAGCCTGTCTGTGGAAGGGTCAAACTCTCTTTCAAATGCCCGTGATTGGCGCCCCCAACAAAGTAAAACTTAAAACCAGCATTAGCACCAACCATTAAATAATTGCCATAATTAAAAAAAAGGCAACCAAACAACATCATGGTAATTTACTAATAAGTAATGACGAGGGAGTGTTTACGAATACATTTTGGATTTTAAGTGCCTATAGATTACGTACTATGAGTCTATGATCGATCAAGAAGTTATGAACCCAAATATTTTATGCGAGGTAAAGCGTGTAGGACAATACATATAATTTTTTTTTAAATTTATAAAGCGAAGATAATGTATACGGTACTTTAAAAATAAAAATACACCGTTAACATACATATAAGAACTTATGAGGGACTGCAAACTCTCAATTTTAGTCCAGGATTATAATGCATATAAATATTGAGAAAATATTTAAAAAAAAAAATTGTGAGGACTATTAGCTTCCTTCCTCCCAAGATATAAATTCAATCATGCAAACTCATTATAATTTATTTTCCGCAATCCATTAGCTCTAAATTGATAAATTCTACTTTTGCCATGACACATAATGAAGAAAACCAATAATTTGAACCAAAAACCAGGGAGAAAGACTAATTAATTAAGGAATTCTTACGGGGGAGAATGAACTTCACTAATACTGCACGCAATTGAGATTTGTTGTGTGGTTCGGGGTTGCCGCAAAATCAGCAGGAAACTGTGTCATCCTGCTTCCGTACTTGGTGGGGGCTGATGAGAAGGGTGGGACCCAATCCACCATCCCACCGTAACCGCCTCGCTGACATGGCACCCATGCAGTTAAATCGTTATTGGCAGTTTGTTACATTACTCCCTGCCGCGGTAAATAAGATTATTCTTTATCCTCTACGGCGGAATCATATTCATATGTACGGCAGGTAAACCGTTGTCATATTAGCTTAGTTTGGGTATGGTGCAAGGTTGTCAAACCGGTTTATGCCAGTGTGCCGGTTTAGCAAGTGGAATGGTTCAACCGGTGGCATATACCGGTTTGTGCCGGTTCATGCCGGTCAATATTACAAATAAAATTATAAATACTCATATTTAAACATGACATTTAACGTCAATACCTAAATATTTATACTTGAATCCAACAAATAACATCAATATTTAACTTTTATACTCATAAAATAAATAATAAAATAATTTCTATTAATTAAATTCACTAAAATAAGGTCATTTTATTTAGAGATTCGTATATCGATCATGCCGGTCATACCGGCGATGTCATGCCGGTTTTATGACCGGTACCGGTTGAACCAGGTACACCCGGTGGCACGCCGGCCGGCGTGACAACCACTATGGTGTAACTTTTGTAAAAGCAGCTTCTGGCCGGAGTTTTTAGATGAGTATTTTTTTAAAAAAAGCAATTAAGTGTTTGGCTGTAAAACTATTAGAAGTGCTCTTTAATATGAGAGGTTGTGTAAAATGACTATAAAAGACTTATAATATAAAATATGAATAAAAATTCTAAACAATAAAAAGTAGTCAAAATGAATCTTGTTAGATTTCTTTTATATTAAATAATATGATTTTATAATTTATTTTATTTTTAACAAGATATAAATGAATGAAAATTATATTTTCCGAAATAAAATTAAAATATGGTAAGGATAATCTTGTATTTTCAAAATAGTTTTTCGCATTATACAAAAACACTTTTCGGCTTCTCAAAAGCCGAGCTTTTACAGGTGTTTGGCACTGCTTCCGTTTTTTAAGCCGAAAAGCACTTCTAAAATCCGGGCCAAAAATAGGGATTAGCATGGTCCATGAAATTGTACCATGTCAGCGGTTCAACCACGAAATACCAGCATTAGAGGCTAAACCGATAGGCGGTATTTAACGATACTACGGTTGAACTACGATTAAACCATGGTTTTACCATAAAATACCTTACCAGTGATTTTTCCGGTATGGTGTCCGGTACGGTTTCACGGACTATGCATATTAGAGGTGTAACCGATATTCAAACCTGAATTAATGATTACTAGTTACACTAAAAATAATGTGTTTAATAATCGGAAAGCACAAGAAGGGGATGATGACACTCTAAGTCAACTAGGTATGATTCTATGGAATGAACGTAATAACCATATGTTCAATAATCGTAAAGCACACGAAGGGAAAATCGTAGGGAAAGCCCTAAAGGAATTCAATTCCTATTACTCCAAAGAAGTCGAATTGAAACAAAGGGAGAGAATCACCTGGGAACCTCCACCGGCGGTATGGATCAAACTGAATGTCGATGCTGCGGTACTAAAGGATGAAGGGACGGGATTTGGAGTTTTTGCTCGAGATGAAAGTGGCCACTTGCTGATGGCAGCGGTTTGTCGAGAGCGCATCCAATAGACTCCAGAGCTGGCAAAGGTCAAAGCCATTTCTTTTGGTGTCAAGCAAATGGGGAGGTATGGCTTTAGCTCCGTCATCATAGAAACCGACTGCCAGGGCACATTTCTTGCACTGGAGAAGACGAAGATAATGAGAATGGAGGCTGGAACGTTGATCGGAGAGCTGAAAGCAGAGGACCAGTTTGAGCCCGATCTAGTGGAGCATTGTGAAAAGAGAAGGAAATGGAGCGGTCTATCTCATGGCCCACACAAAATGTAATTGGGACACCAAAAAATGTTGGGTATCTCGACCACCAGTTTTTCTGTTACCATTTTTAGATTCTAAGCCCATGAGGCATTAATAAACTTCAGGTCTGATTATAAAAAAATCAATGAGATAGTAAACGGTTGGCTTCTGGTAGCTAAATTTAATTAATTACTAACATATTGTTAAACAGATAGTAACCGATGATAAAATGTTAACCGATTCACCAATTATGGTCATCTTCGTAGTTAGGACCGTCAATAGACAATAATAGGTCTCGATGAGTTGTGGGTATAGACAAAAAATAATGCGATGTTTGAAGGTCTACAAGATCCATTATGGCATTATCTACCTTAGCTCTGTAATAGTGAGTTAAGTTCAAATAAGAATAATTTCAATGAAGGGTTTTAGAAGGAGCATAGTAGAAATGTGGATTTTGCACACAACAGCTCGACAACAATCAGTAACATTTAAACTTCCATGTAGTTTTGTGGGTTTTATGAGTTGAGTAATTGTTGTTGGGTCTCTTATTCGTTTATGCTTCTTTAATCAAATATGACAGTATAATGTGTTATTGCGTATTTGTGTTGGATTGAGTTGATTATGGATTGATATCTATGTTAAATAAGTTCTTAATCAATGTTAATGATTTAAAAGAACTCATGCGCATGTAGGGAAATACTTTCAAAAATGCACAAATGAAAAAGTAGGAGGTCTTTTGTTGGTTAGATTGCTGACCGATTATTTTGGCATAACCTTGCCAAATCACTTGCTTAACGGTTATCAACATACAAAATAATCGAGAACCTGACTATACAGTTCGACTAACCGACTAACATAAATGATGCGGTTAACGGTAATCACAAAGTATTTAACGATTTACAAAAAACCGACTAAATGATTACGGTTATAACCGAACCGAACAAATGATCAAATGTCAATCCTACTCATATGGAAGGAAGACGGGAATTACCCGGCACGTGAGAAGATGGCAACGGCGCTCACACGTGCGGGAAACCGTGGCAACCGCTATAGTAACTAGAGTGGTTAACAAACAACTGTAATAAGCGTTGGTTTCTGGGTGGGGTTGGGTTAGGTCGGTTATTACACCTAATGATCTAACCAACCACTTTACCGCGGCGTTTTGCACTTTCACCCCGGGGGACGGACAAACAAACGGCTGGGGAACGGGACGGGAAATTTCAACACCGTTAACGTTTGTGGTTAGCTAACGTCGTTAACTCCACCGTTTACGGTTTTCCCCCTTTTCCCCCCTTCCCTTCCAATGGGATTTGTTCTATAAAAAAGGTCGTTTTGTTGCAGCACTCTTCTGACTCCGATACACACACTCTGCTTTCTCCTTTCCCCCCCACCTCTGCTGTCTCCTCCTTCTCTGCAATTTTAGCCAGGATTCCTTCACAGAGAGAGAGAGAAGGGAGCTAGAGAGACGACAATGGCGGAGGCTCTGAGATGGTTCGCCCTGTGCACGGTGCTGGTCGTGGTGACGGTCGTCGGAGTTGCGGCCGCTGCTCGGGACGGCGGAATCTCCGGTCTTACTCTGACTCGGTACGCAATATGCATTTTCCATCTCCGTTGAATTCCTCTCGCTTTAGTAGCTATTCCTCTCCTACATTCCCCAATCTCGCGCGCTGCATTTGTGTCTGCGTTTTCCCTCTTTCCCGGCGGTTAATTGAGCGGAGCTCTGCTCTCTGCTCTACTCTGTTTTCCTCTGTTTTTTCTTCCTACTTTTCAAAATTCACAGCTACTTAGGTTCGTTTCTGCTATTTAGATTCTCCAGGTACAACATGAACGAATTTTTAGCTCAGAAGGTTGTGTAGAACTGACGCATTGTGAACCGAATCTTGTTCTATAGAGAGTGTTTCACCGCTGTTTCTTTGTGAAATTTGAGCTACATTCCCGACTCCGGAGCTTGTAGGCTGTAGCTACCTTCCTCCTCGTTCGACTAGTCTTGGAGATCGAGTATGGCGAATGAGGATTTCTCCGAATCTCATTAAATTCGGTTAACTGTATGCATTAATGGCGGTTTCTCTAACGAGGCCTCGCAACACTTGCCTTTCGCTTCGTTTATTTTTTCCCCCTTTCCTGTGTTGGCCTTCCGTAAATGGGACACAGAAAGTGAGAGCTGGAATGAATGTAATAGCCTTAATTGCACCGACACTGTTGAGCTACCTCAACCCGGAGCTGATACAGCCCTGTATAACTTTTTTTTTGTTTTTTTTTTATTCTGTACAGGAATGTGGGAACTGAGGCGTTGCAGAGCTCGAGCAACTCTTCCATGGCGGCCAGGTAATTAATTAAACAAAAGAACACTCACTGCTAAAGTAGCTCTGGAGCATTTATGAGTCTCCTCCTCTTTTCCTTTGCTTTCATTCGATCTGATCCGTTGGTTTGTGTGAGCATTGCTCTTTCCTGGGCCGTTAGATGAGGTTGATTGCGGCATTTATGTTGGTTTGTCCGGCGAATGACCGGATCGTGGAATCTGTGCCGTTGAGATTGCTAGGATCTTTAGATCTGGATCGTTTATTCAGTTACGCTTCGTTTTCTTGGATTCCTTAGTTCCCTCGCCGCTCTCTGGCAGTAACTTTCAGCCTTAACCGACTTAAGTTCACGTTAAACTCACGCCTCCTTTTTAGGAGAATCACAGGGTAAATTCATTATTGTTATCTTTTAAATCCAAACTGTAGGTTGGTGATTAATTAAATAATTAATTAATTATACCCGCAAATTAGCTTCTCGCCGGCGAATATAGAAGAAAATGGCTTTTAACGGTTTTAGTTAGGATAGCGACGGCCGACGGGCCATGTGCTGCTGAGAGGGACTGGGTTAAGCAAGTAGGAACTGCACGCACAATGTCCCAAACGGACACGCACCGCACTCTCCTGTCATTTCAGGCCTATGGTCTCCTTGAACTTTTTTTTACTGTCCTATTCTCAGGAGTCGGTGACACGTGTCCACCAATGTAGACCATTGTTACTGTTTTACTTTTTACTTGTCGAGGTCTCCTCATGGAATGGAAGTAGCTTTTTCTGTTCATGTCAATATTGTCATTGTAGTGTTTCCTTTTTACTTATGGCAAAATACACTTCTATATCCACAACTTTGGCGTTTGTGACAAATATATCCATAACTATCAAAATACACGAAATACCCAATTCCGTCCATCTATTTAACGGTGTCAGGTTAAGAGTATGATTATACTCACGGAATAGCTGAGTTGGCAAAGTTCCGTCCCCACCCATCTATCTGGATTAACAGAAAAATAAAAAATGCTAGGATTTAACTTTAAAAAGTTAAACTAAAAAATAATAAATGGAACCCTGCAGATCGCCCAACCTGTTCGTCTTCCTCTCGCCCCAGAACCCTTCCATCACCGAGCTCCAAATACTCCGACGAAACCTTCTTGTGCTTCCTTTGACGACGATTGGCGCAAGTAGAGTTAGAAGCCACCGGTATCTTCCTGAACGGCGTGTAGCTTACCTCGTCGTCTTCTTCCCGAATCCGAAATCCAGATCCAGAACCAAATCATTGAAAATGCGATCGGAACACGATTAATCGTCTTCCTCAATCTTAGGACTCCAGAGTCTTCACCAATAGATCCGTCGTCATTAGAGTCAATAGGGAGTTTGGGTTCAGATTGGGGTAGACGCCATCGCCGGCGGGGGCTTTGTCTGCGATTTTGGAATTGGTGTTGACTGGAAGCAGGGGCGAGAGCTGGCAGCGATGGAGCTAGCGGGTGCGAAGCAGATCCTCGATGCTGTCACCATCATTCCTCGAAGTCGCATCACCGTCTTTGATGCCCTTGTCGCTCGCATCATCGCCGTCATGGTCTGCTTCAATCGATCTCCACCTGCCCTACCTTTAACTCCAGCATCGACAGGGAATGAGACGGCAGGAGTAAGCATCTTCGGGAGAAGAACGCTGATTTTGGCGAGTTTCAGATTGTGAGGTCGTGACCTACTCCGTCGCGCCGCCGCTAGCTGCCGCGATTAGGGGTGTTTAGAAGGCTAACAAGTTCAACGTATTGATGGCGGATTTTATTTTGAGTGTGGGAGTGGGCGGTGGTAGCGGATTTGATGTCGGCGGTGGGAGTGGGCAGTGGTGGCGGATAGATGTCGACAATGAGTGGTGGCGGATTTGATGTCTGCTTTGGCGGTGGGAGTAGGCGGAGGGGAGAAGATGGGGCGGAGAGGAGAAGTTGGGGTGGAGAGGAGAAGTTGGGGCAGAAGGGGAAGAGTTACGAAATTGATTTTTTTTATTTCTTAAAATTAAATATATGTAAGTAAATATGATGTGTAATTTCCGTGTCATTTGGTGTTGATTTTTTGATGACGTGTGCACTGATCTGGCGTCCTAGTCAGCATATAACTAACATAACTGACGGCGTCACTAACGGCGTTAAAGTTTGTAACGGAAATGGATAGATTTGTCACACGATAGTACGCTTTTCTGGGTATTTCGTGTATTTCGATAGTTATGGATATATTTGTCACAAACGTGAAAGTTATGGATATAGAAGTGTATTTTGCCTTTACTTATATATGGTCTTCTTCCTTTTTTTTTTACAGTACCGGAGAAGAAGTGGTCGGTGCAGAATCGGTGAACAATGAGCATGCCGTTCAAGACCCAGAAGAGGTGGTTTCAATGGTTGAGATGTAAGTTTCTTTCTCTCTCGCTCACTCTGTTCTGGATGTTGAATTGGTTTCAATGCTTGATTTGTTTTGCTGCAATATATACACTTGAAATTGTGGGATTAGGGAACTTTTTTTTTTGGGAAATTGAATGGGGGGTTCTGGGTCTCTTTTGCTTTCTGACCTTCCTTTGCTGCCATGGTCTTTTTGGTGAAACTCCATCACTTTACCAAAAATATCAGAAACCACGTTCCTCGGCTCTGCTGCTCTCCCCTCATCGTCCTTTTCTTTTAATTTTTTTAAATCTTAAATTTAGCCTTTTTCTTCACGCTCTTCATCTCCCTCACCTGCCAATCTACTTGTGGCATGAGTCTGATGAGATGTGTGCTTTGCTTTTGTTGCGTCTATCTGTTTCATGTTCGTGCATGTACGTTTACATCCAGAATACCTGATTGGATCATTTTCTCGCTGCTGACGTGGTTCGGTCAAGTAGTAATTTATTGGAATAGCTGAGCATCGATTCATCATCAAACATGCTAAGAGTGTAAAAAAAAAAACAGAGTTCTTAACGTTATCTTTGATTGTGACATGTTAGACAAAAGTAACGTAAACATACCCTGTTTTGGCTTTGTGTACTAGAAACCAAAGATTGACACAGCTATCTGATAATGGTCCTTTACTCCTCTCATTTGCATACTGCCAACCTGTTTGTTTCCATCTGGTAAATTGCATTATTTTCTCCCTGCTGCCTCTTGTTGTGGAAGTTGAGCTAAAAGAAAGATAGGATAGGATTTGATTGGAACGGACAGAAGAGGAAAAGGCTACAGCTTTTATAGTCTTAGTAACTTTCCACCACCGACACATACACACCATGTGTCCGTACAGTACAGTATACTAATTGGTTCTCTGATATTGCTAGCCAGCCCAGCTGCAATAAATTATTCAATCCACAGAACAGAAACAGAGTGTAGGTCAATACCACACATTTGTTGAAATTGGATATCTAAACGTATTGCTTTGTGTTCACACTCGGATCCCAACTAACCGGATCGAATTTGGCTGGGGTTGATTTTGTGTGGAAATGATGATTGGCCTGGCCTAACTGGATTTGATTCCCCTGACACTCGTAATTACCATACGCAGGAGCATCCGCAACAGCACTGAAAGGAGAAAGCTAGGATACTTCTCTTGTGGAACCGGCAACCCAATCGACGACTGCTGGCGCTGCGACCCACACTGGCAGAAGAACCGCAAGAGGCTCGCCAATTGTGGAATCGGGTTCGGAAGGAATGCAATTGGTGGGCGTGATGGCCGTTTCTACGTGGTGACCGACTCCAGAGACGACGACCCTGTGAACCCGAGACCCGGGACCCTGCGCCATGCTGTCATCCAAGACAGGCCGTTGTGGATTGTATTCAAGAGGGACATGGTGATCCAGCTGAAGCAGGAACTGATCATGAACAGCTTCAAGACGATCGATGGCCGTGGCGCTAATGTCCACATTGCTAATGGCGGATGCATCACCATCCAATTCGTGACGAACGTGATCATCCACGGCCTCCACATCCACGACTGCAAGCCCACGGGGAACGCCATGGTGAGGAGCTCGCCGACGCATTTCGGGTGGAGGACCATGGCTGATGGAGACGCCATCTCCATCTTCGGGTCTAGCCACATTTGGGTCGATCACAACTCGCTGTCTCACTGTGCTGATGGGCTGGTTGATGCGGTGATGGGCTCGACTGCCATTACCATCTCCAACAACCACATGACCCACCATAATGAGGTAAGAAAAAAGTCAGTTCAGTTCTGTTGTCCATGTTGCTCCGCGTTTCCACATAGACAAGGGGTTTTTTGCAGATTGAATTAGTTTCTGCAAATTGAATGATGCAGGTGATGCTGTTGGGGCACAGTGACACTTACACCAGGGACAAGCAGATGCAAGTGACCATTGCATACAACCACTTTGGTGAGGGACTCATCCAGAGGATGCCAAGGTAATTAAACATTTTGTTTCCACAAAATTTACAGGTCTCTCTTTGTTAGGTTTTCTTGGCAAGCACTAACAAGTAACAAGAGAATTTCATATAATGGTGCTGCAGATGTAGGCATGGGTACTTCCATGTGGTGAACAATGACTACACCCACTGGGAAATGTACGCGATCGGAGGGAGCGCGAACCCCACCATTAACAGCCAGGGCAATCGATACAACGCCCCGGTGAACCGGTTTGCGAAGGAGGTGACGAAGAGGGTGGACACCGCGGCGGGACAGTGGAAGGGGTGGAACTGGAGGTCGGAGGGAGACCTGTTGTTGAACGGTGCTTACTTCACGCCGTCGGGTGCTGGAGCTTCCGCAAGCTACGCTCGTGCTTCTAGCTTGGGCGCCAAGTCTTCTACGATGGTCGGATCCATAACTGCCAATGCCGGTGCCCTTGGCTGCCGCCGGGGACGTCAGTGCTAGTACACACTCTCCTCTTTCTTCCCACAACCCACCAATTTTTCTTTTTGCCCAAAAATGGGTAAGTCATCATTATCATCAATCAGTCTTTTCCTTCCAATTCCATTATAGCAATTAAGCAACAAAAAAAAGAAGCAGTTCAAATTGAAGGTCTCTCCCATTTTCCTGTCTGTCTGTCTGTCATTGTTGTTTCTTTGAGTCGTCTTCATTCAAGTCTCCATGTCTACAAAACTTCCTTGGACCACACAGCTTATAGCTAGCCCTCTACTCTCCCCCACCATTGTTGGCAAAGTGTACATTTTTTGCACATTGTCAGTCACTCTATATATATAGGTTGCTGTCTCAGTCTGTCTTGTCTTCCCACGTCCCCCATTGTTTTTGTGTGTATCTTTTTCTTGTTTGGTGTCAACCTCGGCCTGTTTCATCGGAAAACCAGGCAGAAGTGCTATAGCAGTAGAAGCAGGTGCGGAAGCGTTGCTGGATCGGATTTCTTCTTCATTCTAACAACTGTCAGTAATCGTCTGCGTAATCTATCTATCTTTCTATCCATGTAATGCGTTCTTACTCTTGTGAGTGTTAAGTTTTGTGTTTTACCTGTATTGTCAGCAATCAGTTTACTTCTTACTAATACAAACAAAGCAATATGTCATAGTACCATTTCTCTCCATATTGTGATTGAGCTCATATATCTATACACATGTGTTTATGATCTTGTTGGAAAGTAATCAAGTGATCCTCCCTCCTGCTGTAACTTGAGCAAAAGCAACTCGGCAGGGGAGACAACAGTACTTCATTATATCTGCCATGTCCAGTTTCCAGAGCAGTGATCATTTATCCTTTTCTACCTTTTCCATCATTATTTTTTTCCACCTTTTACGCTTTAAGCCTTTGTTGGGTTGTTAATGATTGATGATAATGGCTGTTGATGATTGATGGTGGTAAGTTGGGGTGGTTCCATGTGAAATGATGTTGGGGCTTTTTTTAATGATAGTTTCATGCCACCAACCACCACGGTTGTCAATGAATCAACCCTGTTTTCTCGCTAAGCAATCCAACTACAGGGCCGATTGCCGATAACCAAACCTCATAACCAATCCTAGAAGATATGACCAGTTGTTAGTAGGTGATTGTTTCTAATCACGTTGGGAGTAATCAAACAGTAAATTGGATCGGATTTGGGTTGAGGGAAGTGGGGAGAAAAAAGGCCGGTGGAGTATGGGAAGGAAAGGAATATGAGAGGTGCAAGCTACAGGCCCACAGACCACAAGTTCAGCAGTAGTGGGCTCTGATTTTCTTTGGAATTTGGTGCCACTTGCATGTGATGTGGGCTCTGCTGTCTGCTCAAATCCCGAAGGCCCAAGGCCCAATACATCACAGTAGCAGTCCCTGGACATTCTGGGTGGACGGGGGACAAGTTAGGGTTTAAGTAGGGGCTTTCAGCTGCATCATGTTTAAGTGGATCTTAAGCATTGGAAGAAAGATGATGTAAATAACCTTACGCTACATTTTGCTCATATGGTTGAAACCCTTTACATGATCAACTAGGGTTTGACCATCTACAAGTAAAGATTAAAACACAACTAATCCTTCAATGAACAAAATGTACAAATAATTCCATGGTCATGACTTGTAAGCGTATACTTTTGCGTTTGATTGAGATGGAAACTCATAACCACTCAATCAAATTTGCCCTTAACTTTGTCCTTAACAATTTCGGTGGTGGCCTGGATCGCCGAGTTTGATACTTTGTCTGTGGCGTCTTTTGCCAGTTTCTTCACCTATTCATCACCAAACCGGATGAGGAAGAAGAGGCCTGATAGTTAGCTCACATTATAATAGGGGATTTTGTGGTTGCAATAAAAATTGGAGTTACCGTGTCAGCAGTAGAAGAGGCAATATTGCGCACAATTTTGGTGGTCTTCTTCACATCATTCACTCCTTCTTTAACCGTCTCAGCTGCCTCTTTCACCTTGGTGATCGTTTCCTTCGTGTCTTTGTCCATTTTGTACTGAACTTCCCCCCAATTTGCAAGTAATCAAATGATAACAGTACTCTCATTTGGGTTAAAGACATAATCTCACAAGCTATTGAATTCTTAAGATTTTCAGGAATTTCCATCCAAATCCTAAATGATAATAATACTCTCATTTGGGTTAAAGACGTAATCACACAAGCTATTGTTAAGTTAATATCTTATTTTGATATGAATTGGTGATCATGCAACATAAGTTATCAGAATGCATAATGAAAGGTATATATATGTCCTGTATTTGAAATGGAAAAAAAGAAGAAGAAGAAGAAGCAAATAAGTGATATAGTAATTGGACAACAATTTGCATGTGTTGTGGTTAGGGTGTGCAACAATTCCGTTGACCGAAGTAATTATTAAATTGTAATAATACATATGCTATATTATGTAATAAATGTTAATCATTAGATAAGAAGACTAAGGATTTTGTTGCCTTTATTTCATTGGATTAATGGGTTAATTGGAGAGAAACAATTAAACAAACAAATATGATGGATTTGAAAATGAAGGTTTTTTTAGTTTTCAAAACGGTGAGATAGCATGCCTACCCATAAAAGGGTTGGCAAAATGACAACCCCCTATTAATTATAGGTTTTTAAGGTAATTAATTTGTGTTGCATTTAATAATCTGTATGAATTAAAAACACATATTAATTACTTTCCCTTTTTCAGTGCACTGGTAGTTGTATCAGTGCACTGGTAGTTGTGTACAGGTGCAATGGTAGATGTATCACTGCAATGGTAGTTCCAAAAAAGGAACGTAATTAATATGAGTTCAGTATACCAGTGCACTGATACAATTACCAGTGCACTGAAAAAGGAAAGTAATTAATATGTGTTTTTAATTCATACAGATTATTAAATGCAACACAAATTAATTACCTTAAAAACCTATAATTAATAGGGGTTGTCATTTTGCCAACCCATACAAGGGTTAGCATGCTAACCGATCCCTTTCAAAACCTTTGGATTTATGATGGATTTGTTTCATTTGGTAGTTGAAAGATAACATTGTTTGATTAGTTGATTTTGATAATGGATTTAAAGATTTTTGTACCATGGGTCTCAACTCCTTGCCTTCAATGATCAAATACCAAATGAAATGTGGTATTTGCAAATACGTGGGGTCCACCGATTTGAGGCTAAAAAAAATGTCCAAATCTGTGGGCCCTACGAATTTGTATACCTCAACAAACAATGTTTTTATATCAAATACGTAATGCTTTGTATTTGGCTGTCAAATACATCACTCAAATCCGACAAGCAAACGAGCCCATAAATATATGGAAAAGAAGAAGCAACTTACAGAATCAGTTTCAGAATTGGCGACATCTTTGACGAATTTGGCCGCAGTCTTGACGTCGCTTAACCTTTCTTTGAATTTCTTGCCGGATTGTTTTTCTTTCTCTTCTTCATCTTCATTCTCTGGCTGCCAAGAAATTGTATAAAATAAAACCGCTATTGAAAGGGAGTCGATTCATATATTGTTTTTTTTTTTACCAAATGTAATGAACTCACTTTAGAAGAATAATAGTAAGAAGGGGAAGGAGAGGAGGGAGTGATCGGAGGAACCCTCAGCCGGCCAGCTCCGGCGGCCGGCCGGAGGAACCTGGAGAAGGTTGAATTATTCAATCTCGATGCTGACATCATCATCATCTTCTCACGATGGATTTGATTTGCATCACTATTTTGAAGATTGAAGATTGGGGAGTGGAGATGGTTATGTTTGATTAGTAGTACGTACAAAGTAATTGTTGATCGGAGAATTTGCCGGTGAGTTACTGGTTAATTGGCAGCATTGGATCCGAGTTTCGCGTAGTCAAAACTAAATACTCTTAGCTACTGCTAATGTTTTTATCCTAAAAAAATGTCAAACACCACTAGCTCATAACATTAATACGACGAGGAATAAAAATCTCCATAATGCCATACATGGTTCAATATAAAACCTAGAAACTACTAATGATCTAACTCATTGGGGGTAAACATTGAAGTAAAAACTTAATCAAAATTATATAAAACTTGGCACAAATAATCAAAATGATTAAATATAAAAAATAAACTTAATTCTACCATCCAAAAACGATAAACCGTCTACTCGGGGTAGAAGTTATGTGTAAATATAAAAAATAAACTTAATTCTACCATCAAGACGATTTTTTCAATGAAAATTTTAACATAAGGGCATGTTTGATAATTTTTCCTTCGAAATTGTGAAATGAAAATAAGGATTCAATTTTAGAGCCCGACGTTTTTGGTTTATTTCAATTTTTAATTTGCTATATTTTTTTAATTGAATTTAACGGCTGAATGGCAAAAACCGGACGAGCGGTTCGATCGGTTAACCGCCTTGGCCGCTCTTCAACCGCTACATAAAACCGGAGCGACTTTTAGACTGTTTCGAGCCAATTTTGTGATCGGGTGGGGGTTTTACCGGTTGGGCCGAGCGGCTCGGCTCGGCTTTAATAACACTGCTATTAAGTATTTTGATTCGGGGTACTTGAGTCAATCGTCGGTGTCCGACTACGTCTTGACACCTATCTAATTTTTGGGCCTATTCCCCCTTTGTAATACCAAAAAATGAGATTCTTGCCGAATGCGAGTTTGTTGCTTCAACCATTACCAAACTAATACCTATTCTGTTTAGTCCAAATTAGGATGCTATACGAAAGTTCGTGCCTACTTATCCCATCTACAATAGCCATAACTTGAATATTAGTCTGCCGCCTTTTTACTAAAAAGATTGTATTAGTTCAGATTATAAAGTATTACGGACGATCGACCAGCAAAGGAAGATCATATTATCGTAATAGTAATAACAAAAGCTTCTCACTCACAATCATATGATCATATCGCATGTATATGCATGTTGCAAAAACAATAACCTAATACACATGTGTTTACCACTAAAAAATCACTCAATACCACATTGATTATTTTCAAAGAGTGGTAGCGATTTATAAGGCCAGCTTAACCATATTAATTAAATTGGTTTACCTGGGCCTAAATGATGGTATTTTGGGCTTCATACCAGGTACCTCAACACACACCACTTGACCCACCAAATACCCACCCATCATGCAAGGGGGGTCAAGTGCCAAGCGTTGACACCCTTCAACATCAACCACCCAAGTCGTGGAGACCCAACCACAAGGGGGGTCATCGCGAGTACCCCTAGTCGTGGTGGAAAAGAGAGCCACAATTTGGCTAAGTGTTGAGACCCACAGCACAAGGGGGGTCAAGCATGACATCATCCTAGGGGGTCAAGCATGGTGTCATGCAAAAGGGTCATCGCGAGTACCGCTAAACATGATGGGAAAGAAGGCGAAAATTGACTAAGTGTAGAGATCCAACCACAAGAGAAGTCATCGCGAGTACCCCTAGCCGTGGTGGCAAAAAGAGCAAAAATTTAGCTAAGTGTTGAGACCCACAACACAAGGGGGGTCAAGCATGACATCATCCCAGGGGGGTCAAGCATGATGTCATGCAAAGGGGTCATCGTGCTAGACATGATGGGAAAGAAGGCTAAAATTGGCTAAGTGTTGAGACCCATAGCACAAGGGGGTAATGCATGACATCGTCCAAGGGGGTCAAGCACCAAGTACCAAGAGACCCAACCACAAGGGGGGTCAAGCCGCCTACTGGGTATCAAGCATGTTGGCAAGGGAAGAAGGGCAACGCGAGTCCCTAGACGATGGTGGTGAAGAAAGCCAAAATTTGGCTAAGTATGGAGATCCAACCACCAGGGGGTCAAGCATGACATCATGCAAGGGGGTCATGCATGACACCGTCCAGGGGGGGTCAAACACCAAGTACCGTAGCCACCTACCTTGCACTAGGGTGTCAAGCATGATGTCGAGGTGAAAATTGGCTAAGTATGGAGATCCAACTACAAAGGGGGTCAAGCACTAGATACCAAACACTAGGGTGTCAAGTATGATGTCGTGCAATTGCTTTGACACTCACCTCTTAAGTACCCAAGCAGAACAGGCGTGCTAGGTCTCGTGCAAGGTCGTCAAGTTTCTAAGTAGTCAGCCATGTATATCATCACATGGTAGACTACCTTGTCAAGACCCTGCAAACATGATGCCACCCCAAGGGGGTCAGTGTGCATCCATCAAACCCCCAAGCACCCTGGTGTCGAGCATGACGTCATGTCAAGGTGGTTAGCACGAGTACCACCAAGCGTAAAGCCTTCACTCACCAAACAAGACACCTCCATGGCACAAGGGGTTAGCTATCAAGTGGCAAACACGCAAGACAGTCAAGGCGTCAAGCAAGCTACATCAAACACCAAGCAGTGGAGCAGCGGTTACCAAGAGGCGGTTCCACAACGGTTACAAGGGATTGCTATAAATAGGAGAAACGAAGACGAAGCAATTCATGGACGAATGAAGCGAGGAAACCTCTATGAATGTACCGTCTAGGTTCCACAACCAACAATTTGACACATTATGTCAAACTTTTATCCTTTCTCTGCAAATTAGCCATAGCCCTTAGTTTTCGGAGCTCTCACTGAACCTCTATAGGAGTAGAGTAACGTAACTTAGATTGTTTCCAAAAAACCATCAAAAACATCAAATACCCTCATTCGAACATTGTTCGGAGAGGAGTGAACCGTGTTTAAAATCGTTGTTCAAGAAGTCAAAGGTGCATTCATTGTGTTCAAACACCAGTTTTTCGTCGCCGGAAAACAACATGCAAGGAGCGTAACACCGTTGCGTAATTACGCTGCTCCATCATGAATTAAAACTGCCGCCGAAGAATTATAAACCATGTGATGACCTAACCAACTAAAGCTGAAGAGAAATACGCAGTTTACGCGAACCCCACTTTCTCTACTACCACCAGAGGCAAATGAACACACCAATCCATAGATTCCAGACTGATTAACACGAGCGATGAACAATAAAGACCAGGGAGAGCAACCTTAATAGATAACAAGCACTCAGCTGTTAAGCAGCTGTCAGTCTGACAACTTGACATAACGACTACAGCCTGCATTTTTGGGTTACACCAATACAGAACAATCCACAAAATGAAAAGGTTAATCCTGTTCATCACAAGCCGACTCACATTAGGTACAAGCGAAGTACAAACACCTCTCCTGCTATCTGAACCAACTCACTGGATGACTACATCCATGGTGTTCCTCTCTGAAAACTCAAGAGAACATAAGAGAGAGCTCTTAAGGTGACCTGGATCGGTACCTCCTTGATCTCCCACCGCCATAGGGGGAGTGCCTCGGAGGAGGAGAATAGTCACGACCGCCTCCATATGGGGAGCGCCTCGGAGACCTACGGTAGTCATCATGCCTCGGAGACCTACGGTAATCATCATAACCATAGCCGCTGCCGCTACTGCCCCCTCGGTACCTACCACGATCGCGATCACGAGGCCCATCTTGAAAAGTATCAAATGCAACTAGGTTAGGAAATCACAAACACCCAGCTAAGAATATGCTCAGCCAGATATAAGGTTTACGACCAAAACATACCGTCCCTTGTGTTCTTAAGACCGAGATAATGTCCTGGAGTTGGAGTCCTTGGTCTTTTCCTCCGTGACTGCACGACAATGAGAAATCACTTCAGTTGTTTTTTCTTACCATGACTAACAATCTCTTCTTAGTAACATAGAAAACGCTAATTTCAACAAGCACAAACACTCACAAAAACCTGCACGGTGGAGGAAATGCAGGTGCATATATACAGATGTATAGCCAAAAGGAAGGAGAAAAAAAAGTTCCACCAAAAGAAAAGGAGAATCGCTACTACATAGTTTCCCATTAAATGAGGTGCCAGGTTTCCAATACCATAAGCCTGATTAGAAAGTTGATGGAAACGTCCGTTGATTAGTTGAGTTGAAATTGAATGCTGAAGTTGTGTAGGGTTGAACAATATAGTTGCTATGTTAGTTGATCACAAGCATTTGAAATGAGCTGATTCAGCTGTCCATGGATCAAGCTGTTTCACTAAGCTGACATGGATGAACTGATCATCTTTGATTGCTGCCAAAAAGCTGATGCAATTTCTACTGAGTACAACCTGAAAACCGTGATGTCAAGAAGAAATATACAACCAAAATAACTTAAAAGCATAAAAGCAAGGCTGTAAAATACCTTTTCCACAGTTATATATCGTCCTTCCAGAACGGACTGGTTCAGATACTTAACACAACGGTTTGCATCTTCAACAGAGTCCATGGTGACAAAAGCAAAACCACGAGAAATGCGCGTGCGGGGCTCCACAACAAGAAAACATGAGGCCACCTGATCAACCAAAGACACTTCTTTAATATTGTATGCAAGATTAAATTATGTTCTAAATGTCCAGTAAGGCAGATACAAAATACAAAACAAAGGAAAATATACAATCATACAAAGCTGAGGAAGACATCAGCCATAGATTTGTTTAATGCAGCAAGCAGACATACCTTTCCCTCCTTGGCAAAATGATCTTCTAGTTCCCTTTCAGTTACCCTTGTAGAGAGGCCAGTCACATAGAGAGTATTTCCTGGATTAACAGCCTCAACCCTGACAATATGTGAAAGAGAATATTAATGACAATTGGGCATCTATCATATTAAGCAAATACCCTTGAAGCAGAATACTGTAGAGAAGCCACTAACCTGTCACGACCCCTGGAGCCAGGGAAGCAGAGAAAATCAGCCATCAAGAGAGAGTTAGAAAGGAGAAGTACGAATGCTCCAAAGCCGCTAACAGAAACTGCAAAGCTAATGAAATAACAAAGGCCATGAAAAACACCTGCCACGACTGCGAGAGCGTGATCTATGCTTCGGCTGCTCCAATGATCTAGACCTGGACCTGGACCTGGCCCTAGACCGGGATCTAGACCTTGACCGGTCTCTCCAAGGAGATGGAGACCGTGAGTTCCTGGCACAGCAAAATGTTAAGGGCATCAAAAGAACTGCTACAACACAGAGCTAGATAACTGCCCATGCATAACAAAGCTCATAAATTGTTCCTCGTACAATCATCACCATATAATACCTAAGCAGTGTAAGCAAATCAACATCAACTCAAGCATCAAAGATACAAGAGCAGGTTTTCAGCCTCTTCCAATACCAAATCATGAAGATTCACAAAAGTTATCTCCAAATTGCAATTCAAAAGTGAGCAATGCAGAAACAATCCCTAGGAACAATCGTATTGGAGAATGGAGGACACAGCCTGGGATATGCAATAGGTGAGGAACGAGTAACACGAGAACGAACAACGAACTGAAGAGCTCAGCCAGTACAGCGCGGCCAAGGGACAAAGACGATATAGAAGGCAGCGAGGAGACGAATTCATCGATTGCATGTCGATTATCCAAAAGTAAAGCAAACACACAGAGACCAAAAGCAGAGAGGCCTCACCTTCGAGGAGGAGAATCCGCCTGCAGTATCCATCACCAAAAAGAAAAAAAATCGCGTAAGATAATCTAAGCTTCCAGAATCGAGACGAGACGAAACCTAAAATAAAATTGGGGGAAAGCATACCATTCCGAAATCCGACGGAGTATGCGGATCAACGGCGAAATTCAGAGAGATGGGTTTTCCGGTAGACCAGAACTCCTGCAATTCGAGCTGATGACCTTCGCGAGGAAGGGAAGCTAGGGTTACTAATGTACCGTTTTTACTTTGCCTCGAGTAGCAAAAAGGCTCATTAATTTTCACTTTTAACTAAACTCATACTCCTAAAAAATGAAGTTTACAAACACAACCGCGTAAGTTTTACCGTCCAGCTTCCGTTAGTTGCCTTTGGTTGGAGGCGGGAAATAAAAGAAGAAAATGCAGGCCCAATTTCAAACCAAACAAACACGGCGTCTGAACTCGGGAGAGCCATAAAAGGAATCAAGAAAACGAAAAACAAACAAAAGAGGATAGAAATGGAGAAGGGAAGTCCGAGCAGCGCCTTGCAGAGTCTACTGGAAGCCATTAAAGCTTCCGACGTAAGTTCCTTATAATTTCTCGGCAGCAATTTCATTGCTAATTTCAGTTATCTGGTGCTCGAGTTTTTTTGCACCGATTCGTTTTCGATTCCATTATGGAAGAACTTCGCCGTTTGAGCTCGTGAACGTGACGGAGTTGCTGGTGCTTTGCAGGTTGTGGAGAAGAGAATTCAGTTGCTCGCTAAGCTCGAAGATTTGGATTTGCGTGAGGAATCCGATTCGGCTTCTTTAGTTGAATGCCTTGCCGTATCCGATTCTTTCGCTTTCCCTTTCTAGGTTAACGAACTGCTCTTTTGTTCAATGTTTGTACGCGAGATACCGGTGTTGCGGTTCATTAATGAGCTTAACAGAGCTAAAAGCTTAGTTTGGCAATGGATGCATTCTGCTTGTTGTTAGGCTTCAATCTAGCAGCAACGTGCTACTGTCTATAGCTTATTAGATTAACTGACTATTCCTGTGTTCGGAACTTGAAACAAGGTCGATTCGAAATGAACGATCTCGGGTTAAATTCCTTCTGAATAGGCATTGGACTGCGTAGTTCATTTCAGTGGTACGGAATTGGTAGATTGCTCCAGTGATTCCTTAATGACTCAGCAGACATTCTGGGAGGACTACACTTGCTTGGATGTGTCTCAATGCATGTTGAATAAAACTATAGTCCATGTGGCTGTGAAATTCGCAAGTCCAGCCTCATCCGATTGTTTGCCGCAGTTTCTTGCTCTGAGTACCAAGGTAGGCTACTATCTACCTGACTACCTTCAGTTTGTTGCCTGTTCTAGTATCCTGGTCTCAGCTGGTATGGAAATCGTTGAATGTGTCGTTCTTAATGGCGCTGCTATATTGCATTCACTAGGCCAGCTCATGGTGCAGAAAGCATTTGAAGATGACTCTCATGTCCACACAAGATTCTCAAGAGGAAGAACACAGCCAGCTCTTCTTTCAGGTTCCCGAGTCTTCGACTATTGAGTTTGGTTAAATTTGAATTTTGTTCTTTAGCCATCGTGTGTTGTTGTTCAGTTTGTATCTCTTGTATTCAAAGGAGCCATCATTTTAAGTTCAATCTCAGTTGTCAACACCAGTTGGTAGCGCTGATGTAACACTTTATGAACTTTGTGCCCTTTGCTTCCGATTCCAATGTAGAGAGATAAGTGTGAAAGAGGGACGTTTAATTCGAATGTCTGCTTTAGCCTTTAGATATTTGCAAACCCATGAGAACTTCCACTTACTGTTTTCTGGCATTTCAGTTGGCAGTTTCTGGAATGTGTTTTCGTTTTATTCAGTAGCCGAATCCCTGGGGTTTGTTTCAGATTAGTTCTTCATTCTCCAACAATTTAGCGAGTACCCTATTCTCCACATACAAGACACCCTGCAGAGTTTTAACCTATTGAATTTGAAGATTAGGAGAGCTATATGTAGGAGAAACTAAGTACGATGATGCACTAGTTGAGTAAAAACATGGCTAGTTAGACGTTTCAACTCTATTTTCAGATCTTATTCCTTGTAATCGCATTCAGATTTGGTTATGTTCCAGTTAATTCATGTTGTCTCATGAACAGACGTTTTAACCCATGCTTTATACTTGTGACCTCTCTCTCTCTCTCTCTCTCTCTCTCTCTCTCTCACTCACAAACTTTTGAAATTTCTTTTGCAGCTTCTTCTGGAGTTGCTCCGCCTATCAACTGCTAACATATTGTCTTTGACAAAATATCCACTTCTGAGCAGCAAGGAATCAGTAGACATTGTTGAGAAATTCATTCTGGAACTGCTAAATCTGATAAAAGACGTGGTCCCAGAGATTAAGGTAACCCAGACTTCTCTATGAAGATTTCTGTCATTGAATATATCGCAATGCTTGTGAGTTCGTTGGTGTTTCTGAATACTATGATTATTACATCACAAAGCATCTCATGAAAATGTCTTGTTCTTTGGTCCGTATTTCGTATGCTTGGTTATGGTCGGTGGGAAGCTGACTGTACACAGTTTCATTTAGAACAGTAGTTGTAGGCTTGTAGCACGTGTTTCAATTTTAGCCCCTGTAATCATAGACTGAAAAAAAAGTGACTGCCCCGCTTCAACATCTATCCTTGTCCAATGTTCAAGAAGACGCTAGGCGCTATCTAGGCGAGGAGGCACCGCCCAGCGCCCAGGCCGATTAGTCGTTGCCTAGGCGAGATTAAACGTTGGAAAAAAATATGTTAGATAAGCCATATTCCACAAAAACCCAAGTCCCCATATCATTATTCATCCATTCATATACACATACAACCCTTTTCCACAATCCCAAACATCCTAAGTCCCCAACCATGAGGAGAGATCTCACTGCTGGTCGATGAGAGGGAGCGGCTGGTCGAATGGAAATGGGAAATAGAATAGGGTTTGAGATTTTCACAAAAAGGCTACACTTTCCCCTTTATTAGTTGTTCTGGGCGTCACCCACCAGGGTGAAAACGCGCCTCCGAGTGCCTAGGTGCCTAGATCAATCGCCCAGGGCTAGACGAGGCGATTTCCTCCTGCCCAGCTATTAATCGCCTAGGCGAGAGATTAATCGCGTCTTCTTGAACACTGTCCTTGTCTACTGTTCATTATGCAAACTTAGGTTAAATTGCATGCTTTAACAGTTTCGGTTCATTATGATTAACCCATCACACTGACAATGTCAGTACTTTTGGGGTCAAGCTATAATGACTATAAACTCGGACTGTTACCTAATAACTCTCTAATGAAGTTTCTCGTAGATGAATTGGAGATATGCTATCTGTTCTTCTTTTGGTTAACTATCCAGTCATTCCTTAAAGTTTTACTTACTTAACCTATCCTTGAAGGATGTCAGCTGGGTGCACATAATGTGGTTTGGCAAATGAGAAGCCAGAGTAACCCCAAACTAATAGGTCACTTTAATTATTTCTCGTCCAGAACTCTGTCAGTAGCTATTGCTGATCTACTTTTTCCTTTTGCTAAGCAGAGGATTAATTCATTGGGCTCGGAAGTACTAAAGGTTGCACAAACATCAATTGATGCTTTGATAAATTTGTGCAAGAGGTATTTCCAAATTATCAATGAGAATCTATCTGATGCAAGGCTCAAAGATTCTAGTGTCATAGCTTCAGAAGTGGTCAGTGTTAAGGATCATGTTTTAACTATCACAAAACATATGGTTGAGAAATTGTGTGAGTTGGGGAGCCTAGCTGCAAGTGATGGTGGAAGCCTGGTCACCATTCTCAATGTGTCTTGGAAAGGTGTGGTTACTCTGCTTCAGTTGGGCAAGGAAGTAATAACACAGAGAGTAAATGTGCAAGATATCATTAGGACTTTAACATCACTGGTGAATGGGCATCTTAAATGTGCAACTGAGGCCTGGTCTTCCACACAAGAAACTGTTTCTGTTGCTGAATCTAGAAGGACTTTTCTTCCTGTCAAGTTTTACCTTCTCAATGCAGCTAAAATATCATCTCTGTATCCGTGCCAAGCATGTCTTGTTTATAGAGAATTAATGTTCTGCATTCTACTTATCTCAACCTTTAGAATTTCACTGTGTTATGAGAAAAATTTGAAGAATGCTAGTGAAGTCTGCTCTGAACTTTTAGATAAGACATACTTGGATCTTCTTAGTTCTATACTGAGTTCAGCTGAAGTGAACCCGGAACTCAAGTTAGAACTACTGAACTGGTTATTCAATGATGAATGTGGTGCCGTCTCCGAGGAAAGAGATCCGACTACTTACTACAACATTGGTTTGATGATTGAAATCTTTGCTGTCAGTTGTGAAGCTGTTCCCAGGTCATCACTGTTGCTACTTGGTCGTGTTGCATTGTTCCATTCTTTGCTTAGCCACTCTGTTGGTTTCGAAGAAGATGTGAAGATCAAAATCACTAGAAAACTAGACTGGTTCTTGGATGTTATGGTCAACAAGGACATATACTCTTATGTTCTGACCTTGCAAATTCCGGTGGTAAATGGCACTGGGCAAAAGCTGGAATTGAATTGGCAGTCCATGTTTTCAGTTCTTTTAGATTCAATCAAAACTTTTATGATCGTTTCATATTCAAGTGTTGCTTGGGAGGAATTTGAGGATTTCTTGGTGGAGAATATTTGTCATCCTCATTTTCTTTGCCGGGAAATCATAATGGAACTTTGGTGCTTTCTGGTTCGCCACGCTGAAGAAGAAGTTGCAAAAGCTCTTATTTGTAAACTTTGCATTGTAATGAAGCTGATAGCAGATCCTGCATCACTTGGTTTTCCTACGTCTCTGCTGAGGAAGATGGCAAGAGCGATCTGTTTGCTTCTTACTAATGGTACAGCTTCAACAGCAGACCATGTTTACAGTTTTATTGCTGATGATACTGGATCACACTCATTGATGGTCATATATTCAGCATTGCTCTTGGAAGGCTTTCCTCTAAATCTGCTGCCAGAGAATGTAAGAACTATGGCTAAGCAGAAAATTATTACAGATTATTTTGGCTTCATAGAGAGTTTTGATGAAAGCCTGCTGCCTGTCACCAGTTCCAATGCGTTTGGAACACCAGTGATTGCTATATGTGCTTCTTTGCAGTCGCAGTAAGTAACATTTCATTATCTGTCGTTGTGAACCCTTTTGATTGACGACATTTGTGCTAGTGGACTTGCGTTCAGATTGATTCAGTGTTATGCTCAATAACACTATTGACCACTTAACTTCTCTTTCTTGTAGGCAGGTTAGCATGTCTGACGTTGACTTGAAGACCCTGAAGTTTATAATCAAAATTATTCAGAACTTGAAGCACCCCAAAGGCAAATCAACCAAGGAATGCTGTTTTATGCTCTTGAATGTAGCATTGGAAATCGTCTCAGCGATGAAGCACCTATATCAATCCGATGAGATGGAGAAAGTTGTTATGGAACTCCACGGTCTTTTTATCTCTGGGCCGACAGCTTCAGATTCTCACCTGCACCAGTGCAAACCACATCTGGCACTCTTCATGGGAGGGCTTGGTGACATGCAGATGTCAGAAAGTGACGATTGTGCCAAGAGCACTGCAGTGTGGGAGTTATACCACATGATGTTGAAGGAACGACACTGGGCGCTCGTCCACCTCGCCATTGCATCATTCGGGTACTTTGCTGCTCGTACGTCATGCAATCAACTCTGGAGATTCGTCCCACAAAACGCGACCCTTTCATACGATGTTATATCAGCAAGTGAAGCATCGGAGGAGAGATTTATGTCCGAGCTGAAGGCGTTCCTGGAGAAAGAAGTCGCTGTTTTAGCAACCATTACAGCCAGCTCGCACCAGCATGAGTTGCTTGTGAAGGAAGGAACCGTGCTGAGAGAAATGGTTCAGAAGATTTCCAACACCTGCATAGAAGAAGAGGTTACAGAATCTGATGGCTTGGGATCCAACGTAGACAGCCAATGCAGCAAGAGAAGAAAACTCCCCGACGGAATTAGCAGAGGAGTTGAGTTGATACAGAATGGTCTCAAGTTCATTGGTGATGGTCTTTCTCAGTGGCAACAGAATCATAATGTCGAGTCCACTGAACTTCAAGAGAAGTTCCTGACTCACTTTTCTCGTCTTGAAGATGTGGTCTCACACCTATCAGGCTTGGCCGGCAGTGGCTGAAAGTTATCTTCTTACTGCAGCTCTGTCACTGAACAGAACTTTCTCAGGCGTTCGAAGTTTTCACCGAAGTTCACCAAATGTATATCCTCAGCAGAAGTTCATCAATCCTTAAATGAAAGTCAGTCCAGGTATGTCTATTTTCTCCTTATGTTTGTGGTGTAAGATTGAAGTTGTTGCCACTAAGTAGTTACATTTGTGGCATTATAGTTCTTTTAGTGGTAGGACTTTAGATCTTGCAAATTGCTGTAGAGGGGAAGGCTATCGTCAATTCGTCATGGTAGGACTTTCAGAGGTTAATCTCGAGGGGATTCATTTTTTGGTCATGTAGTCGTGTTCGTTTAGACAGATTCTTGTGTTATACAATCGAGGTACCTTATTCTAATCTTTATATAGTCACTTTGACGAATATTTGGATATCTAACATGTAGACTTAGAATTTTATTTGACACAGCCCCGATTATCGTAGTCAGTGGAATATGGTTAGAAAGGAATTGACGGCGGTTAAATACTATAATGATCGTTGACGTCTTATTCTCTCTCAACACTTCGTATTTGCTGTTTCACTTTCCTGTTGATGATTCTCACGTTTGCAATCTAAATCCAAAATACTTGATCATCATCAAAACTTGACGCAATACAAACCTATGTTCTGTTTCTTAAAATATTTTGTTGTAGTTGTGTGAATTTAGTTACAAAAAGCATTTTAGGGTGCGTTTGGATACAAGGATTTGGATTTGGTATTTGTGATTTGGATTTTCAAATACCAAATCATGTGTTTGGATATTAATTACATTTGGTATTTGGATTTGTGTCAAATTCATGGGGTGATTTCCAAATACATGTCTAGTGTATTTTTTGTCAACTTCAAATACATTTCAACAACTAGTGATTTGAAATACCTCCTAACAAAAGAATGGACCTATTTGTAAAATATGAAAAGTTTAGGTACTATAGTGTGAGGCAAAACATATAAAGATACCAAAATGTAATTTTACCATCAAAATTTCAGGACCTTTTTGTAAAATTTTAAAAGTTTAGGTACTAAATTGTAAGAAAAAATAATTTCGGGTACCAAACTGTAATTTACCAAAAATTTGTAGTAAGTGGCAAGAAAATTAAAAATTGAAATTGAAAATCATAAATACAAAAATACAAACAAATTACAAATAAGTATCCAAACAATGAATTTGAATTACATGTATTTCAAATGCTAATACTTCAAATACATCTATTTCAAATGCTAGTATTTCAAATACCTTACATTTAAAATACACTTATCCAAACGCACCCTTAACTGTTTTAATTAAATACTAACAGACATAATAAACGGTAGAAACCGGAAGTTTGAGTCAGCCGGTTTGAGCGACTAACTGACCGAACTGGTCGTGACCTGGTCAGGGAGCATTTGGTCTAATTTGAGGGTAGCTGGATTGGATTCGGATCGTGGTTCGTTTATTTGCGTTTGACCTGCAGTTTGATCCGTTTTAACAACACAGCTTATTCTACACTCTACAGAGAGCAGCAGTATTATTTTCACATGTTGAGACCGTTTGCTTTCTTGAATCTGAGTAATAAATTTGGGAACTAGATTTCAGGCTTCATGGTTGTCAAAATCCAATATTTGATATGACTAAAAAACATGATGTAATTTTTTGGATTCCAATATCCCTTCTTGCCATAGTTTTGGTGGAAATTCCTAACAAATAGGTGGGATGTGAAAAAGAAGGCCAAAACCTTCAATATCAATTGAGCATTTTACTCTTTTTTTTTTTCTTGGGGTTAATTGCAAGGTTGGTCACTGTCATTAAAAACGTTCATATTTAGTCACTAGATTTATTTAATTTCATTCGTGTTCACTAGATTTAGTAAAACACACTCTATGTCCAATTCTGTTAACTTTGTCTAATGTAGCAGTCAACTCTTATAATTGACAGTTAAATGTATGATGTGACAATTAAATAATAATACAAAATAAAAAAATTGACATTGTTCGAGCCAAGATACTTCCAAATGCTTATCCTCCACTTCCCCACTTGTCCGTCACTCAGGCGCCTGGAAACTGCACCCACAAGCGCCTAAGGGCCTTGGTCGACCCGTTAGCACTCCGAAGCTTAAGTCAGTGCCCCCTTCTAGAGAGATAAGTATTCAGAAATAGTTTAGTGAGAGAAGCCAACCTGCGTAAATGCTATCGTCTGCCCCTATTTATACTCACCGAACCCGAGGTTGATCTCCGCCACGTCACCTCCCTCATTCAATGCTCTGCGCCCCCAGACAGCTAACCGCCCTGTCAGGCTCCTGACACCTGACTGGCATTCCACAGCTCTGCCAGGCTCCTGACACACGACAGGCGCCCGCAGGCCGTGGTCCACCATCCAGTTGGTCGCCACCTGGCTTTTGGTGCTCTGCGTGACAGTTAACCGACCTGTCAGACTCCTGACACCTGACAGGCGCCCCAGGCCGTGGTCCACCAGCCGGTTGGCCGCCACCTGGCCCTTGGTATTTTACTCTTTTGGGCTTTGTCCCCTAGCTCGCTGGGTAATACCCCCAACAATTGCCCCCCCAGTTAGGTGCTCGTGGCTTCGCCAACGAGCGCCTGACTGAACCTCTAGTCGTAGTCCAGCCTTCTGCTTAGTTGCAGGGCGCCTGTCACTTCGGCGCCTGCATCGTGCTCTCACTTGTTTCTTGGTCCTACGAGGTGCGTTTGCCTTTCTTCCTCCGCGATCAGGCGTCCCGCCTTTGTCTGTGTCCCTTATCGAATACTCTTCCAGGTGCTTCTGTCCCTCTTGCCTGCCAAGGCGCCTTTTACCCAATCGGGGCGCCTTTTTGATTAGCCCTCCTTTTCGGGCGCTTCATGGTGTCATTCTTGACGAGTGTCCTTATCCCTTGTGCCCCCCTCACCCACACTGTGCTTGTGGGGGAAATTTGGATAAAAGAAAAATTCGAATTTCGAAATTCGAAATTCGAAATTTGGGAGTTGAGAAATTTCCCCGAAAAGGAGAGTGTGGGGGAAGCTCAAAGGTCCGCCTGTGTTTTGGTGACGCGCGAAAAGACCCAAAAGGTGGGGGGAGCGGAAGGGTTTCCTTCGGCATGACTGACACGTGTCATGCGACGGGTGAGCCTTCGTTTCTCTTTAAATACCCCCCCCTTGTGATGCTGTCACTTTCTTCTATTTGTCATCTCTCTAGAATCTTGCTCTGACTTCTCTCTAGAATCTTCCGCTCTGACCTCTGTCCTCTTTCCTCTCTGTTTTTCTCGGCCAACACTTCACTCTCGTCCAAAAAATGTCGTCTCCACAACAAGACAAGACTTCTGCACCCGGCGCCTCGGGCGCAGGCGCCTCCGGCGACGGCGGTGAAGCAAGGCGCCCAGTTCAACGTGGTAAGTTGTCCTTCTCCTTTCGTCGATTTCACTGAGTTTTTACTTTAGTCACTTAGGGTAGGGGCGTCACTTACCCCTTGTCCACGTTGCGTCTGGGTCATTTGTTGGTTTAGAGCGGGCGCCTGCTTCAATATCTGGTGGACCATCTTCGTCTGCCGGGCCGTCGAGTTCCTCAGCGCCTGGGTTTGTGCCGGCCGACGGGTCTTACAAGATTACCTCATGGGAGAAGTGTTTTCCTCCCGATCATCTGCCTGCCGAGACGTCTCATTTATCCTTCGAGGTGGCCGGGCCGAAGCACACGTCCACAGTCACCTTGGAGCATGTTCACGAGTTGGTGACCAGCCTCCAACTTCCCCGAGACTGGTGGTATGCGCCCCCCTCGCCTCTGTCTCGGGTGGGCGTCTGTGGCCCGAAATGGATCGGAATTTATCAGGAATATTTTCGCTTCGGGCTGCAGTTTCCCCTTGACTCAATCATGGAGGGGATCCTGACAACTTGTGCCTGCCCTCTCGGGCGCCTCTCTCCCTCGGTCATAACGGTCGTCATCTTGTTCAAACTGAGGTGCCGGGAGCACAATGTGGAGCCTACCTTCAATTTATTTAGATACTTCTTCAAAATGGTGCCCCTCGACAATTGCCTTTCTCTCCAGAAACGCAAGAAGCGCCCCTATCATTTCGTGAAGAAATGCCCCAAGTTGAACCGAAGCTGGTTCAACGGTTTTTTCTTCATGAAGGCGTATCAGGATTCCTTCTTTGCGAGTGGGGGCGCCTTCATTAGGAGATGGGCGTTGGGCCAGGTCGATGATTTTAATAAGGAGGTGGTTTTGACAGCATCTGAGAAGGCAGGCGCCCCCTTAATTTGCGAGGGGGAGCCTGTTGACTTACGCCCCGCCGAGAATCGTCCGCCTATTATTCAGGCTTATTACAACGATGGTGTGTAGGCGTCTAGGTGTTCCGCGTCCTTATCCCTTTTTTCTTGTTTTTGCGTTATGTACTAACTCATTTTTGTCATATGCAGGGGCGGATTACTCGAGCATCGCTAAGCTTATGAAAAGTAAGCTGGCGACTATGGTGGCGGCTGCGGCGGAAGAGGAAGAGGAGCCTTTGCTCCGCAAGGGGAAGAGGGCGGGCTCCCCCTTAACCTCGGCCAGTAAAAGGGCCGCCAAGGGCAAGAAGAAGGTAGGCGAGGAGGACGCCTGCGAGGAGGACGCCTACGATGAGGTGGTCGTGGAGGCGGAGGCGGCGGAGAACGCCCGCGTCCATCTGAATGAAGAGGGGCGCTATGTTGGCCCCGATGGGCGCCCCCCCATCTTTCGGCCACGACGTACCGAGGTGGGACGGGTCAACATGAACTGTTCCCCCTTGGTCGCCGTTGACCGAGGGTGTGCCATGGGCTTGGCAATTGCGGCCGCCAAGTCCTGGCAAGTACCATCCGAGGTGACCAGTGATCACCATTTTGCTGAGTTAGCCCAAGTGGGCGCTAAAGTATGCCTCTTCGCACCTATATTTCCATATCCTTTCTACTTGTTATTTTGCAGAACTTGCTGACCCTTTTCCAATGGTTGCAGATCCTTCTTTTTGCTGAAAGAGGCGCCCGACGCCTCAATGAGACGAAAAGGGAGGCGCTCGAGGCTTCCTCTTCGGCTGCTCAGCTGAAGTTGGATCTGGAGAACGCAACTGCACGCCGCGAGCAGTTTGCGAAGGAATGTGAGTAGGGATGTCAATCCAACCCGTAACCATGGGTACCCTACCCGACCGTAACCGGTCAACGAGGGTAATTACCCGCTTTGACGGGTTAAGGGGCGGGTACGGGTAATACCCGGTTTCAAAATAAAGGGTAGGGTACGGGTATGGTAATCGGTAATACCCGCCCCGTTATACCCTCCCCGCTAACCAAATGATCAATTTCCCTTGAGAAATTTATTTTATCTTGAGAAATTGAGTTTAGCTACCATTATTGATGATGAAGATGTAGACGATTATTATGTTTGTGTGGATTGTAGAAGCAAGAACAATTATTATGTGTT